TCTGTCCCTGGACGGCTCTCGGGCTGCGAGGTCCACGCTCCTCAGGATTGTCCCCCACCAAGGGGCCTGACAGGGACCCCGAGAGACCTCAGGGTCCTCCTGCCACCAGCACCCCCTCTCACCCCGGTCTGGCCCCAAGGCCAGGCCAAGGGTGGGGACAGCGCACAGCCTGTACCTCACACCTGCGTGGGCCAGGCCTCCCAGCCAGCAGCCCAGGAGCCCCCAGGGGAGCCCCCCTAGCAAAGGGCTAGAAAAGGGGTAACCTGGGGTTTGGGGGGAGGGGTCAGCTGCAGCCCGTGAGGCAGGGAGACAGCCCCCCGGCCGGAACTGGGGCTCCCTTATCCCAGGCACAGTGACCTAGGAGTGACCACAGGGAACGGGAGACCTGCAGGGCTCGGAGCACAGCCTGAGGTGCGGGGCGGGGTGACCAGAAGAGGAGGAGGCCCCGTGGGAAGCAGGGCAGAGCCAGGCACCAGAGCTGGGGAGCTGGAGCACAGTGGGGCGTCTGAGAACCCCCCTCCCGTGCCAGTAGGTCCTCCTCACGCCTCAAGCTTCAGCTTCTGGGCTTTGTGGGAGGGAGGAGGGGATGGGGGGGGGTCCTCGGAGGCCAATCTGCATGGACATAGGCCTGGGTGTGGGCGCCCCACTGCACTGAGGTCGCTGGGTCAGGGACCAGCTGGACTTGGATTTAGGTGAGTGACTTGACCTCTCAAGCTGCGCTTCCCAGCTGGAAAATGGAGGTGACGGATGATGGAACGAGCATGCAAAGAGCCTAGTGTGTGCCTGGGCTGCTCCCTGCCTCCCAGCTGGAGGGTGGGCCGTGCCGGTGGGCCGCAAGGCTCAGTCCTCGGGGTCCACACGCCAGAGGCCACGCCCGGGAACAGGGTCCAAGCTGTGAGGGCCCTGGGCTGGCTCTTCACAGGCCGTCACCCCATCATTTACTGCTCAAAACTGCAGGGAGGGAGTTATCTCATTCCCCCCGGGAAACTGAGGCTCAAAGGGCCTGGGAGGGGTCCATCACCCTGCCCGGCGGCACCACAGCTCCCCCTGAGATCCCTGTGCCACCCCGAGGGGTGAGGCGGCTCACCCAACACGGTGCCCCCTGGCCGCTGGGCTGAGCTGGCCCTCTGCGCCCTGCCCGCCCGTCTGGTCGCATCAGCCTCTGCCGCCAGGAGCCAGGCGCTGCCTCACGGGAGAATGAGCAACAGCCGTGGGGATGCCGCCGGCCTGGCTTCGCCCCAGCGGGGAGGCGCGTTTCTGATGAGGAAGCAACTTGCTGATCCACCCCGCCGGGTGGTGCCCCAAGGCCGTCCTCCCAGGCCTCTCCGGCAGCTCCAGCCCGTCTTCCGTCTTCCGCCAGGGTGACAATGGCCCGGCGCTTCCGTGGGTCACCTGGAGGGCAGCCGTGGGGCATGGAGGGCAGAGTGAACGTGTGTGAGTGTGAGCATGTGTGCGAGTGTGTACACGTGTATGAGGGTGCTTAACTGTCCTGTGTGTGCGAGTATGCTTGCCTGTGTGCGTGTGTGTGTGTGTGCGCACGTGTGTGAGGTGGCCCTATGTTGGGCCCACCCCAACCCCTTGGAGACGTGGGCTGCTGTGTCCTCTGGGGACTGGGACCCACCACCCCGACCACAGCCGCCGGGGAATGGCATCTGCGTGTGGATCATGGGGGCGGAGGGAGCGTGAATCTGCAAAAAGCCTCTAATGTGTTTGGAGAGAGCAAGCGAGCCGCCCAAATGCTCGGTCACCTGCTCACTGCCCGGCCCGCGCTGTTCCCTGGCCTCTGGGCCCCAGGTCCAGGGTCACGGGGCCTCACACAGCCAGCAGTCACCACCTGGCGCCCCGCCTCCCACCCCTGAGCTGGGGGGGTGGGGGCCCATCCTGGCCCCAAGTTCCCATCAGGAGCCGCCGGCAGGGAGGCCCCCAGCAGGGGGTGGTGAGCGCCATCGCAGCCATGACTGTGAGGCGGGCGGTGGGCGCCGTCGGGGCAGAGGGGTCGCCCTGAAGGAGCAGGAGGAGCAGGAGGGGGCAGAGAGCAGCGTGGCCAGGAGGCCAGGGCCTTGGGGAGCTGCTGACGTGGTGCCGTCCACGGCCTGACCTGAGCTCCTCTCTCGTGCCTGAGCCCAGGGGGTTTGGGGGACCTACTCAGCCCCTCACAGAACAGGGCTCCATGGGGGGTTCAGAGACATCCACCCAAGCAGGTTTCTCCCTCTGCTCTCGGGGGGGCACCCCCTGCCAACTCCCCAGTGGCTTCCCCCTCCGGCCCCACAGGCACCCACAGGGCCCACGGAGCAGACGGGGCGGCACAGGGACCCGGTGGGGGCGGAGTCCCTGGCTCCAGGCAGGCTGGGGGCAGTGTGTGGCCCAACCTTGGATAAAGGGTAGGATTGGGTGGACAGGGAAACTGAGGCAGGGTGCTCCAGGGAGAGGGAGGGAGGGGCTTCCACACCTCCCTGGACACGGCGTGACTGCGGCATGGGGCCTTCCATGTGTCCCCCACCGGGACCCCGAGTCCCTCTGAGACGTAGCTCAGGCCAAGGTCCCCAAGGCCACCAGCCATGGGCTCCCCTGTGCTCACGCCTGAGTGTGTGCTGGCTCGGCCCGGGCCCCCCCTGCTCTG